CTAAGGAAGCCGCCATCTTGGATGAGGGCAAGGCAGGGGGCAGCCATGTTGAAGCTGCAGGTGATGCTTGTGTGCAGCAAGAGCCTTGTGTAAGGGCAACCACAGCGAGTGAGCACCATTCCCCCCAACAGCGCTTTGTAACAACAGCCTGGCCATTGGCGGGTACAGGCCGCATCTGTGCCGTGGGGACGTCGCCCCCGCCGCCCCTGGCATCGCGTGGTGTGGGGCGAACCCAGACAAAATGCCCAGAAGTCTCTCGCTGAAGGAGAAAGTGCAGATCATCCGCGAGTGCCAGCGGCCGGGGGCCACTCAGAGCCAAGTGGCCGCCAAGTGGGAGTTGCACCGGTCGGTCGTGTGCCGGATCTGGCAGCAGAAGGAAAAGCTGTTGGCTGACTACGAAGCCGGCCAGTCGAACGGCTGCCGTAAGCGCGGGCGGGAAGGAAAAGCCCCTGCTGTCGACCGGGCTCTCTTTACGTGGCTCAAGGAGAAGAGGGCGCAGGGGGTGCTGCTGGCTGGACCCGCGGTCAAGGAAAAAGCCCGTCAGCTCGCTGCTTCCCTTGGACTGAATGATTTTAAGGCAAGCGACGGTTGGTTTACCAGATGGAAGAAACGCTTCAATGTTGCTTGCGGAAAAGAGCAGGGTGGAAAACAGTCAGCGAACAAACCCACCACTGAGCAGTGGCAGTGCGAAAAACTTCCTCGTATCCTTGAAAAGTTCTCTCGGGCTGACATCTACAATGCTGACGAAACAGGGCTTTATCTGAAAGGGCTCTGTGACAGAGGACTTGGAGAAAGAAATGAAAAGCAAGAAGGAGGGAAAGCTTCAAAGGACAGGGTAACAGTGCTCGTCTGTGCCAACATGGATGGGAGTGACAAACGCCCGCTGGTCATGATCGGGACGTCAAAACGACCCCGATGCTTTCCGGTGGATTTCAGGAAACTTCCCCTCAATTATGTCAGTTCAGCGAATGCCTGGATGACAGGTGAGATTTTCATCAAATGGTTGAAAAAGTGGGATCGTCAGCTTTACTGGCAGAGCCGTCAGATATGCCTCTTCCTGGCTAACTGCTCCGTACACCCGCAAGGAGTGGTTCTCACTAACATTCAGCTTGAATTCTTACCCCCTAACGCTACGTCTTCGATGCAACCTATGGCTCAAGGTGTCATTGAGAACATGAAGGGACATTACCGATCAAAAATAGCAAGCCGGATTAATGTTGCTCTTGATGTGGACCCCAGCGCAGACGTTCAGACAGTCCTGAAAACTGTGAACTTGCTAGATTGCGTTCATCTTGTTGCCGAGGCCTGGCAAGATGTAAAGCCGACAACAATTTCCAACTGTTTCTGGAAAGGCAAATTTGTTGTGCCAGAGGAAGGTGGGCGAGACGAGGATATTGCAGAGTTTGACGACCCCCTGAACGATGTTCCACTTCCAGTCAACATGGAAAAAGAGGGCTTAGTAGCCGCTGTGGCTGTGGACGAGGATTTGCTGACGTTCGGAGAGCTAACCCATGAGGAATTACTGCGCGCTGCAGCTGCTGCAAGGCCGGAGAAACGCGCTTGTGTGGATGAAACGTATCATAATGCAGAGGATACTCAAGAGAGTGAGGATGATTTTGATGAAGTTCCATCCCCGACAAACTCCGAGCTGTTGAAGGCTTTGAACACACTTCGGCACTTTTCGCAGCTAGAGGGACTTGGGGACGGGGTCTACAGGTCGCTTTGGGACATTGAATCCCACCTTCAGAACAAAATTGTGACTGAGAAGAAGCAGAGCAAATTAACAGAGTTCTTTCACCCCAAATGAGTGAGTTTCTCCATGCTTAGTGTACAGGTTGATACTCACTGTGTAAATAAAATACACTGATGTGGAACAGTACCTTAATGTAGGTGATTACAGTATTATTAGCTTAGCAGATGCCCTTATCCAGGGTGATTTACAGTGTGGACAAAGTATTACAGTAAGTGCCAGTACAAAAAAGGTTTACAAGAGGGTTTGTTTGTTGTCATGGTTGATGTTTGATTGTTCTTAAAACATAAACATAAAAGTTGATACTTTTATAACTGTTACTCAATGAATGCTGCTTTCTGGTCGTAGGCTACAAATGCGGATCAGAGCACGTGTTTAAAATGTACAGTATGTGCACTAATGCAATACTGTAGCCATAATAGTAAACATACCCTGTATTGTTACAATTCTAGATTGTTGTACTGTCGCGGCTTGACATATCAGAAAAAGCAGGCTGCCTTTGGTCAGATGACACTCCCCATAACAGCAACAGCCTCTTAGGAGCAACATAGCAAAAGGGTACCAATATGTTGCTACTAATGAGTGTCTACTGTCAGTCTAGCTCTACTACTCAGAAGGCAGCCATCTTGGATGAGAGTGGTTCGCAGTGGCCATCTTTGATGAGAGCAGACTGAGTAAGACAGATCTTGGATGAGGGCAGACCAAGTAGTGCTTCAAGGGGCATCCATCTTGGATGAAGGCAGATGCCCTAAGGGCTGAAGGAGTGGCCATCTTGGATGAGGGCAGACCAACTAGTGCTTCAAGGGGCATCCATCTTGGATGAAGGCAGATACCCTAAGGGCTGAAGGAGTGGCCATCTTGGATGAGGGCAGACCGCCTAAGGCCTAGAGGGGCAGCCATCTTGGATAAGGGCATCCGACCATCTTTGATGAGGGCAGCCTGACCAAGGCCTCAAGAGGCTGCCATATTGGATGAGAGCCTCCATGTCCCCACCCTGTGACTGTGCCCCAGCTTTGCCCGGCTCAGGTTGCCCAGGTGCCTGCAGGCTGTCAGGGAGGCCGGGCGGGCAGCCTGAGGCCTGTGCCCAGGTGTCAGGGAACTGAGTTGGAGCCTAAGCCGCAAGCGAAGGCTGATCCTGGTGGGGGGTGGCCCAACAGAGCACGTGCAGCTGCAGGGCTCAGCCTGCAGGCCAGAATGTGGGACCGGAGCATGGCCCAGCAGTGTTGCCGGATTTTAGGAGATTAATAATATTGTTTAGATAACATGGATTATAGGCTCATCAATTAATCTGCTCAGAAGAGAATAAGGTTCTTGTCCCAGAATCAGGCTACACAGAGTTTGCAAGGACCCTCAGGATGTATGACAAGGACACTCACACTGAGAACAAAATGTAGCCTTAAAGACTTTTATTGAGACAAATGGAATAGTAATCAAACAATCAATCAATTACAAAACCCTAATATTGTTCTAGCAGTACACATGGTTTTATATATGATAAAGGTTTCTCAATTAACACACTCACACCCTTCCTTGATAACCTGGTGATAAGAGTCCAAGGACCAGCCTTGTCTCTGGCATGCCAAGAGAGTCCGATGGTTCAGGTTTCTTAAATCTTGAGTGGGAGGTGAAGAACATAGTAGAAACTAGAGCGAAAGCTAAAGACTATAGGAGCTAACTTCGAGTTTACTTAAGCACTAACCAGGACAAGCTAAACAACAAATGAACGGAACTGCACTAACATGGTGGACTGTCCTTTTGACAGAGCATGAGCACTACGTGCCCACCTTCCATGTCCAAACTTAATTTCCTCACCCACAGAAATATCAGGTGCACTTACTCTATAGGCTGGCGTCTTCGTGCGTATCGATGACCATTTAGCTCACTCTCACCTCTGTTATTTCTGACCGCACCAGTTATTTCTATGTTCTTTGTGGTGTGCCGGGTAAGTCTGAAAAAGGCCATGAACGTAGGTGGCCCTACACCAACTTGCTTTAACTTGCTCACTTCTCCGTGTTAAAGGTCACACACATACATATACTTTATGCCTTAGCTCAGCAGCACCTATCTCGGCTAAAGGTCTCCAACGAGTGTCTGCTAACTTGCTTTAGCTCAACATACAGGACGTGACCTGTAGGTTCCTTGCATTACAGCCAAGAATACGCCAATACAAACTGATAAACCCATTCTAATAAAACAAATGATCAAACCCATAAGAAAAGATCGATCGGCAAGCAAGCAGGCTAGCCCTACAGGCTACAGCCGGGCCTCCCTGCTCCCTCCCACTCCCCCCATTGGCCTAACTGCAGCCACCTGACACTCCTTGTCTCACACCTCCATTGTCAGCGCCTTGTGCTGTGGCTAGACTGTGCCTAGAGCACCCAGGCCCTGGTATGCGACTGGGGCGCAAGGCTCTGCTGCAGCCCTGCTAATACATAACGACAGTGATAGGGCGGGGCAGGGGAGGGTGAAGGGTGGAGCCTTTTATTCTAGTTAATTAACTACAGTGGGTTCCGCTCTGGCGGCTACAGTCTCAATTTCAACAGAGTTATCTCTGTTTGTTCTGGATCTAGAGTCTGCAGGAACACATGAAATCATAGGCAAATAACACAGACACTCACAAGAGAATCTATCTTTTAGTAGTTTTATTAAAGTTACCAACCAAATTATAAGTGTCACAGCATATACAATTCCTAAAGATAAGCACCATGTACCAGTTACACCTACAGACATACTCACATCCTCCTAGATGGTGTTAGAGAGTCTGTTGGCCTTCTCATGGCTTGATCATCAATATGGGAGTGGTTCCTGCTGGAGTTTCCCATAGAAAGCTCAATTTTCCTGCTCTGGGCACCCCTTCTTATTCTGTGAGTCTGTCTGATCCTACATTCTGCACATGTACATGAAAGTGTCACCCCACTCTTCCTTATTGGTCTGTGGCCTTTAGAAACACAAGGGACCCCGAATTCTAGAGGCTGGGTAGGTTCTCGTTAACATTGACGTACCACCTTTATCTTGTGGTAAAGGCACATGTTGGAGACAATATTTGTGGTTACAACATTTTATCATTTAAATTTAATCTTCCCGGCTATACTTTCACAATATTACCCGTTGGTACCTCTTTCCCCAGAATCTTTCGGGTTAGTTCTCGGTCATTGACTTACACCATCATTTCTTGTCCCCGAGGCCTAAAATAGCTGAGCTAAAGTCGTGCAGGCCTCAGCCTGCAGGTTCTTGTGTTAACTCGGATTAACATACACTGACTATATATGGAATAAAACATTGCTGAATCATAACATCACACATTAAATGGATAATAAACGACAATCATTGGCTACAAGGGGCTGCACTGCAGGAGGAGCCGGGGAAGGGGAGGTGGAAGAGGACAGAGGAGGGGGCGCAGTGAATTAGGTGCTACAGTACTGGGCGAGAAAGCTACAGCAGGATCATCGCTCTGCTCAACTCACAGCACTTAGATTCATTTATAGTGAAAAAAGTATACGTTTATATCACAAAGAACAGAGATTAACATAATAGCAGGTAGGTGAAAGTATTGGAAACACTTAGTTACATCTAATACAAACTCATAATACGCCTTCTAGAGACTCGACTTACCTAACAAGGGACTGTCTTATCTACTGAAGTTTAGCTCATCCAAAGTCTTCGTAGCTTTTTCCAGCCAGAGAGGCTGTGACCCCTTTTGCATGAAACAAGCCACGCTCTCAACTTATCCCCTAGGAGATGGACACCGTGTGTTTCTTTGCCATCTCCTGATATACCAGATTAATGCTTTGATTTTAGTCATAAACAGGACACCCTCCTGCTGTGCAGCCTTCCTGAACATGTTGTGATCTCTTGTCGACTTCGCAATCTAGATTAGCTGGTGGATCCGTATGCAAATAGACTTACGCTGGAAGACGCACAACACCTGTTTATCATCTTCTGGTGACCTGTCTTAGCTTATATATCTTAAGAACATAGTGTTCAGTATAGATACATAACTTTTTAAATAATAGCCTTACATACATTTTAAGAACATAAGAACGGCCAGACTGGGTCAGACCAAAGGTCCATCTAGCCCAGTGTCCTGTCTGCCAACAGTGGCCAATGCCAGGTGCCCCAGAGGGAATGAAGAGAACAGGGAATCATCAAGTGATCCATCCCCTGTCGCCCATTCCCAGTTTCTGGGAAATGCTTTGCAATGTTTAGGATGGGTGACCAGTGGACTATCCCGCGTTGGCTTACCTGTTATGTAGATTTCAAACCCAGGGGATCCCTGTAAACCTCCATGACCTCTGCTGTAAGGTCTCAGGCCTTTTTCTGCAGTAAGCAGCAGCCATAAGCTAAGAAGCAGAGAGTCACATCCTCACATCCCATCTAAACTGCATCAAAACAATGTCATATTGGGCTGTTCGGGAGGCTCCTGTCTCAATAGCCCCCACCATCACCAGATACAGAAACAGAGCTTAAGATGGTTAAAGAAAACGTTGTTTGGTGGCATTCTGTCTGGCAAGGAATCACTTATCAACAGTTGTGGTTGTAAAATCCCCACTTCTTTATTGTTTTGTCTTTATAGTCCCCACTTCCTATTGTTTATCTGTCTGGTCTCTGTCTGAGTTACATAACTAATTTTGCAAGACTTAAATCAACTAAGGTGGTGGGATGTGATTGGTTAAAATGTTTAGTAGTGGGCTAGGATTGGTGAGAAACACTATTTTGTAGGACTTTAGTTTACAATGATTGGTTAAGGTGTAGCTAAGCGGGACTCAAGTTTCCCTATATAAACTGGGGTCCAAAAGGAAGTTCATTGGAACTAACTCCAGGACACGGCCCGAGATCAGAGCTGCCAGACCTCAACACCTGCCAATCACACCGTGCAGAAACTGGAGTCCCTGGACAACCTGGTCCTGACTGGCCCCCAGGAAAAGTCTGTCTGCCTTAGGGGAGTGGGGAGCATTGTCTGCGTATGCTGTCTGATAACTGTTGACACCTAGAGGTTAAGGATATTACTGTGCAAGGCTCTTGCACTGGTTAAAGGCCCCACAAGAAGTTTATGCTCT